ATAGCTAATGAGTTACGCTTATAACGTTTTTACGGCACGCGCGACGCATATAACGGTTGAGATAAAAAAAAGCGCACGCCTAATAAATAATTCATAACGACGCGCGTCGCGAGCAAATATTCGTTTAAAAAAATAAATCGGATCCAACGGCCCCGGAAAACGGAAATAAAGCAGAAATCGCGAAGGGATAGGTAACTTCTGTTTAGCGCGCAGTTTGGCACCCACTAAGTGATAGTCTTCGACAAGCGAATGCGTTAAAGTTAGTACGGAGCACGAAAGAAATATTAAGCGGAACGAAAGAAAATCCACAAAACGATAAGAGCGTATAAAAGAAACAATTATAATAAGACAAACAAAAGAAAGGAAGCAGCAGTTAGAGAGTGTAAGCAATTGGGACACGCAGCTGCAGCCAAGTGGAACAAATTTGAAGGCAGCAAATCAAATACTTGCCGTGCTGGCTGCCAAAGTTGGGAAGAAACGAAGCTGCAGTCACCGTAAAACCAAATAACCGCAGTACGTCAGAGACCACAAGAAGTTTTTAGGCTAAAGTAAATAGCAGCGGCAAGTTAAATCAAAAGTCATAGTGCAGACACGAGCGGCGCGCCGCGTACTGTAAGTAGCAGCTGCTGAGAGGAGGCAGAGAACAGTTCGCCACGAACGAATACATTTGCGCTGCCACAAAACTACCACCACAGTGTCAACGAAGCACTGATATGCTAACTACATAAGCCCTCACAGCACCCTCACACTCACACACACAATTTTAAGGGCGCCCTGCTATCTTCCACCGCAGTTATATAAATAATATTTTCGTCTCATCAACTAGTAGAGTTGAGAAGCTTTGGAACATCGGCTGAATCGCAAGCGCCTACTTTCCACGCGGGCGTAGCTGAAAAAAGGCGACACATCCCCAACGCTGTTAAGCGCAGGGAGTCAAAACGCAAGCAATATTCAAAGCGTGAAACAACAGCGCGCTGCTGCAACGCGCCACGCTAATTGGACAAGCAAAGTCAAGTGAAGTGTGGTTGAAACGGAGAACGGAGAAGCGCCTGCTGCCACCACGCCGCGTTGACGCGTCTACTCTCGGCACAGCTACCCACTCGAACACACAATTGCGTCGCCGATTTGTTAGCTTTGTTTCAGCTGTTGTGTAAATTGTCCGCTGCTGTGTGGAAAAGCGCGCAACATTCACTTGCCCCCGTCCATCCTCTCTTTCCGCTTCCGCTACCGCCATCGCTGTGTAATTGGCGCGTATATTGATTAAGTCACAAGTGTCGCGCGGCTCCCAGCGACAATCGTCTTCAGTGTTTCACCGCGTGTGCTGTGCTGCGCTGCGCTGCGTCTAACCCTACACTACGCCATATCAATCGGGGTGATAACCGGCTTGTATTGACATTTGTGGTTATTAATACATTAGTACCAACGCTGCTGGTGTGCTTCCATTTACACGTCCATTTACGTGTGCTATTGTCTGTTACGTGTCCCCCGCCGAAACCGAATTTAACGCACCTGAGTCCGAGTCCGTGTCCGCGTGCGCGTTCAAATCTACATTCGTTTCCTTGCCTCAATCGCCAAATTGTTGTCGCACGCGGTATCATTCGTCTTAAGCGTGCAAGTCAATCATCATTTGTGTTGTGAGTGAACATCGTTTGTCTCGTTGCATCGCGCCATCAAAGAGCAAACGATTTCGCAAAATTCACCAGCAACGCACCTCAATCCCAACCCAGCCCACCTGTGCACCTGTAACTGCTAGTAATTGTACTGAATCAACAACGACTCCTACTACTATATACCCGCCCGCCCGCAACATCGACAATAGTTGTACGTGTTTTTGTACGATAGCTGAAAGCCAAGGACATGGACCCGTCGCTGCTTGTCGTGTTGATCTTTCTTGTGATAATTAAAGGTGAGTCAACACAAATTTTGACTTTTAAATAGCCACTGGGGTGACTGGGTATAATTGAGTGTTTGTTCAATTGGGGTTGGTCGGTCATTCACGATTCACGATGGTTTTAGTGTTATTGAGTTATTTGCGGATACACCTGCTGGTTAACAAGGTTGTTACTTTGTTTGTCAATGGACCCTCGCGGTTGGAAATCACAAAAATAATTGGCTACGATTTGGACAATGTTAGCTAATAATTTGTGTCTTTTATTGAAGTGAATGAAATTATTATTAAAATTGTCAATAAAGACCTTAGATTTCTGATTCTTGCAAAGGTTAGGCTAAGTGTGGTGATCTTGACTGGTTTAGGAGATAATAATATTTAGCCTAGGCTTTTGCTTAAAATAAATTGACTGAACACAAGGGTGTCGACTAAGCCAAGTACTTTTCATTGTTTCCCATCGGGAATCAGTTCCTCGATGGAGGACGGCAAAACGTTAGCTCCGGCTGTTTTGATGGCCTAGAGAGAAGAAGTGACTAGCAAGATACTCCGCGGCCCGCAAAACTCTCGTGGTAGGGTCACAAGATAAGCATACAAGGTACCCTATAGAGGCGCCACCTTCCTTATTTGAATGTAACATTAGGCGAGTCGAAGTTGTAACAACGAAGTGAATGACTTCTAAAGATCAGACGGTATCCGAGATACTCAATCGCAAATAAGAAAGAAAATAGGTACTCAGACTTCGGTACCAATTTAAACCTCAAATGAAACAAAATCTTTGATAATTCCGGAAACGTCGTTGAAGGAAAGAGCTCTTAGCTAATTTATATATTATGAGTAAATCTAAGCCAATTGGATTGTTTTCTTTTCCTTATAAGGATCGTAGCTCCTTCCTCTTTAGCAGCCTGCAGCAGCGATCCTTGTCCATTTTCTTACGAGGTCCCTTATCCATCTGAGAGTTCATGTAAACCCTAAACCGCTAATAGGCGCCAGTCCTTTGGTGAAACCCAAAACCACAGTATGCTAGTTGATCGGAAATTTTCGTTAACCTAAAAATCTCCGTTTTCTGGTAACCCCATAACTTCCAGATTTTTTTTCTTCGCTCCAGCATTCAACGGTTAGTGTCCTAACAAGTAATTGTGACAGCAGGCCATAAAATCCGGTGAGAGGATAACGAACCCTGCACAACCGTGACTTCTTATTTTAATGCTCAATCGTCCCATTTTCAAATACCGGTACCCTATGGAAAGTGCAGTAAGGTTGTCCTCATAAGTAAGGCTGTGCAAGAGTGCTTCAAAAGATTAATTTTGGGTTAGGTAGAAGTCCATATCGTCGTGTTGTCTGTAAATCCGGAATTAGTTAAAAACTCCAACGTCTGTTAAAGTCGATATGGGGATCGAAATTCAAGGCCGTATTATTTAAATTTTGCGCTCCTTACGGTATGATGCTTTCCACTTCACTTTCGAACAGTCCTCTGCGTTCTTGCTTAGGACCCCGACATTTAGCCTCAACTTTGTAATCCTGCTTGAGGTAATTCTGCAGCTGCAGACACAAATTTTGGACATTTCACGTAATTGTCCACCATCTGGTGTAGTAACTTCAGACCGGAAACCAAGCGCCGAAGTATTCGCTTAAAGGCCTTAATCACAGAGCGAAAGACTTTTATAGTACTATAGCACTTTTAGCGACCTTAACACTTATTTCGTATGCTCTGCGACAGACCTTTCGCGTTGCTATCAGCTTAGGGAAAACAGAGGCACATCTCAGGGAGGTGTTTCCTCCCATCTACTATGGATTTTGGTCAGAAACTACTTTATTCGGGAGCAGTGTGAGAAATTTCTTAAAACCCTCTGCGTATGATGAAATTAAAAAAAAAAATTTGATCCTGATGTCAAGTAGTATACGAATAGTGAGTTCACTGTAAATTCTACTATGATGCAACTCGTCTTGTTCACTAGGAAGTATAAGTAACCGACGTAACTCTTTTATAAATTGGATGCGTTTGCCTAGCGCTCTCTTAATGGTGCCAAAAATTGGGTTTCATTCTAGATGGTAAGATCACGGGGACGTCTGCAGGTCGGAAATTGATTAGCGATAGAGCCTCTCTCCTAAGGTTATTTCCTGGGTCTATGTTTTATGGAGTCCTCGTGTGGTGGAATAAGCTCGAGAAGACTTCATTAGTCAGAAAATGGAGCGGATATATGTACCGAGGTCACTCTGGAAAATCATGCTATCCATCAACCTCAAATTCAAGTTTCAAGCTCTCTGTAGCGTTTTTTAGCAGAGGTATTCGCCTTCAAAGAAGGATTCGATTGGCACTACACAAAGCTAATAAAATATAACACCAGATCTCTCAGTTGCGTCTAATTATTTTATAGTCAAACTTATATGCGTACCAGACCATAATGATATTGCGGAAACTTCAACAATAGTCGAGCTGGTCAACAGACACATCCCTGGTCGCATCGAAAAATTAAAGTGTGGGAGCGCCATTTATTTACTACGTGCGGATTGTTTTTGGATAAATAGTTGTGGTATTATCTCGTGCGGTAACCCGAAGATGTGCATCATCATGGTCTTTTTTATCGAGAGTGTTGTAGAGTCAGTCAAGGGATTTTCTTCGGCTCAAAAATCCGCTGCTGTTTAGAGGATACTCAGGGGGAGTCATTTCCACACTTTGTCTTAAGCTACCTAACCTTTGAAAGGCTACGGCTCTTTCTTTTTTACTAGTCCCGGGAAGCTCTGCAGAACTGATATCTGCCATTTGCAAAACTTCGTTCTTTCGATTAAGCTGTTCGTTGTTGTGTGAAAGAGGATTGATGGTTATTACCCGAGTGTGACCTGCTTGAGATGACCTTATTTAAACACTATCAAGCACTATTTGCATTGGAATAACACTTTTACTCCTTTCCATAGCGTTAGTGTAGAACTGAAAATTGGTCTATGTAATGCTGGGCATTGTCTTAAAACAACCCGGGGGGACTACCGGGGAAATTGTCCAAAGCACTCTACCAACCTTCATACTACACGGGGCAGACATTTTACGCACATGTCGGGATTTATTATCTTCTAATTGCAAAAAGGTAAAACTGATACTTGTGGGGTTTTTTTTCAAAAATTACGACGCAATGTTTGCTGTGGCTTTTATTAAAATTAAAATTGTTCAAAGTCGTACCCAATGCTGTCGTTTCTCACTTCGTTTTCCCTACATATTTATTTTTGTTTACACAACTCCCTTGATGCCCTTGCAGCTGGGACTTGCAGCTATGAAGGCTACTTAATCATTATTCATGCTCGCTTTTGTCCTTCTGCATTCCCGATTTGTATGCTGCTTGCCTGTTTTCAATCTTTTACTTCGTGTACTTCATACCAACCAGCGCTGTTTGTCCTTCGCTCTTCCTTCGCCAACTTCGGAAGTAGCGCATTTTATTCTTCTTGCTGTTGTTTGTTTAATTTGTGTTCCTTCTCATTCTCTATTCCCTCTGTTCTTCAACATTTCCTCTCGAGTGCCATTAATTTTAAAATGCGGCTGTGTGTCTGCGCCATTGGTTAATGCTCGTATCTATTGGCTTGGCTTCGGCATCGTCTCAAATGAGTAATGAAGTGCACGCGGAAAATGTTTAACTTTATTTACATTTAATTAAAATTATGATTTTTTGTTATGATACATATTTTCAGTATGTACTTAGCAGTGGCGGCTAGCGTCAAGCGGAGAGATGAGATTTTAGCATTTGAGTTTGGGTGGAGCACGAGGAGTATGGAAAATCACTTTCGTGTGCTCGTGTTCGCTCATTCCGTTGTAGGAAAATGATTTCATAGCTTTCACTGGTTAATAAAAAAAAAATCTTCTGCCAAATTGTTTTAATTTTTCTTTTTCTTTTTATCCTTTAAAATACGAGAGCGTATTTCATTGCTATCCGAAGGCGTGTCGTGGCTGAGCGGACGCGTATATTAGTTACGGCTAGTGATTTTTTATTGCGGATTGGTGGCTATATTTTCCTGTAGCAGCTGATTGGCTAAGAATTTTTGATTTTTTAAGAAAATCAAAAAGGGGGGAAGAATATTTAATGTCTAAAATTTTAAGCGAGGCCCTAAATCTGTAACTCATGGGCCGTCGGTTTTTATGACCGAGCCGATTTCGGTACCTTTGAAGTAGTACTTGTATACTTCGATGAAATTCGACAGGATTTTTGGGTAATTATCTTGCGCTTACGTATTCGCTTTACAAGTAAATAGCACTTTTGCCAAGCTTGCCCACTATTTTGTTTCTCGGGACCAGTGTTGCCATTCTTAGTTTTTCCAGCTAGATTTAGCTTTTTATTTGGGTTTAGCCGGAAAAGAACCTGTTAAGATTCTAGTTTTCAAAAATTGCTTATACTCAAATGTCGTGCTGTGATATCTTCGAAGTTATTTAATGGTCAACTAACTTTCAAACCAGCGAATACATCGATTACAACATTGCATTTTGTATTCTCCCTTGTTAGACAACTCAAGGAAAGGTTTCCGAAGCATCGACTTTATCCGATTTCTGTGTGGTTAGACTGGGCTCGAATCGTCACATACGATATCTACGATTACTCGTCACGTAAAAACACATTTTTCAGATTATGACATACGTGAACGTACTTTTTATCCCATTCAACTTATACAACTGACGTATCAGGTAATTTTCTTTCGTATGGTTTTCCATCCGTGAACGGATGTTACAATTCGAGCCCTGGTTTTTGAACTGTTTCGCCACTAGCGTCCTCTTTAGGAATGAGCGAGCGGAAGCAGTAGTTGCGAGACGGCATCGGTGAATTTCTACACGGATGGGTCGAAGCTAGACGAAAGTGTCGGTGGATGTTTTTTTTTGCAGGGCGCTATTCAACAACCTGTAATTTAGGCTTTTCTAGATCATTGTAAGGCTTCAGGCAGAGCTGGCATTAAGAAAGTCAAATCCATTTGGCCATTTTGGCCATATTGACATTGCAGGGAATCGCGCTGCGGATAAATAAGTTGGTCAGGAAAGGAAAGAGCGG